GTATTTCAATCTAGAAATTGTTCCAGAATACGAGTCTTATGAGTCTCGATCGCTAATGAACAGTCAAGTTCTGCAAGTTATCAGTAATGCGTGAATAAGGGCTGAGTAATTCTAATCCTCTGAAATTGCTTTAAGAAATGATAATCGAGATTTCCCACTCGTCTCATTACATTCAAAAGGGTTACTGTATTGCAATATAAATATTTTACTAAAATGTCAATTATCCTCGAAAAAGAGTTTATTTTGTCTGGATGGGTTTGGCTGGTTCAAGGTCTGCTAGTTGAGTTGTCCAACTCTCCAAATTGTATTCAATAAAGTGACTTGTATTTTTATAAGTTGTCTTCGAGATTATCAACCATTCTTGAATAAGTGTCTAGTTAGTATAGATTGCTTAATATGATGTAATGACCGCTAGTTGTGATCACCTGCCCAGCAATTGAATTCTAATAAGAGCTTGACGAGTCTAAATTGCTAAGGATGATTTAAGGACTGCTAGTTGCATCTTCCAGCTGACTTTATCAAATTCGATGAAGTTACTCATTTTCCATATAAGTAGTTTCGAGACTCACAGTTATTTTGAAAAAAAGTCAGCGAGCCTAAATTTCTTACTGTGATTAATGGACCGATGCTTAAGTATTCTTATGCATTTCGTCTCATTCAACTATGTTATTTATTTTATATATTAATAGTTGTCGAGACTAGCAGTAATTCTTGAAGAAGTTGTTAGTGAGCCTAGCCCACTTAAAGCGATTTAAGAACTGCAAATTGAGTTTTCCTTCTCACCTCATTGCATTAGACGAGGTTAATTTTTTTAATATGATTAGTTTTCGAGACCTTTAGTAATTCTTCTATGGGAGTTTAGGAAATCTAGTCAGGTTAACGTGAATAAAGGAGAGCTATTTGAGTTTTCCTCGTCACCTCATTGCATTCTTCCAGGTTTCTTATTTTCCTTATAAGTAGTGTCCGAGATTATTGATAATTATTTACTAAAATGTTAATCATAATTGATTACATAAGCTGATTTTATTGCTGCCAGCTGAGTCTTTCCGCAATATGATGGGTTAACCTACCATTGAATACTGATTAAAATTCTCGACATTTTCTCATACCAAAAATATTTAACGCCGTTAACGATATAATTAGTATTAATTTTTTGTTCCTCCATGTTCGGCAGACTGATGCAACACATAATCCATGACTTTTTCTTCAATCCGATGTCTCCTGCCGTACTTTGAGATATTATCGTGACAATACTCAAAGGTCAGTTTTCCTCAAATAGCCCATTTTCGGCAAAAATTCTCCATTCCACCGTCATATGCCGCAAGGTATGACGACCACTCGGGCATGGTACACTCTTCGAAGGGGCCTCCTGGCGATTGAGACATGTCTCGAGAACGTATTGCACGGCCTGGCGAATAGGTACAGTCGCCTTGGCAACAGAAACTCTGGCATGACGGTGGCTGCAGACCATGCAGGATGTCAACTTGCGGCGGACAGTCGTCTTTCGGTTCCGGCCGAGGCTGGAGACGACACGAAAAGACATCGGCTACCGTCTGTGCTACAAAAGTGGCCATGGCAATGGCCGACTGAGTACAAGTTTCAGCCGGCCTGGGCTGAAAGGCCGCGTGGGATGCAGACAAGAAGTCAGGCCAAATGTCATTCTGGCCTGAAAATGATTGTCAGACTTTTTCTGTGTCGCATAATGCAAAGGAGAAGCAAATGGACCTTGTGGAATCGTGTCTGATGATGAAGCACGGACGGATGTGCATAGACCGACTGAGAGAGAAAGTGAAAAATAGAGAAAGAGAGAGAGAGTGATAGGCTGAAATAGAGAGAGAGAGAAAGAGAGAGAGAGATTAAGGCGTCACCCATGCCCTGAGTTTGTGAGAGTTGCAGAAAAGACATGTAGGCTGATGCTGGTACAGTGAATAGCAGAATATGCTGGAAATGTGTATAATTTTGGGGGAAAAGTGTACATCTGCCGCGCTTTCTCGGCCAGATTGAGTACAGCATTCTGTAGGCCACGGCCTGCAGAAAAACGCAAAATCCATTTATTTTAGGGGGGCTGAGGTGTTTTTGCTGACATTCTACAGCATTTTCTTGCTGAAGGGTTTGCAACACGAACCCCGCCGCTACCGGTGACCAAATATCCCACATGCATTCATCCCATCTCGTCAAAGGTGACGAAGGACTGACTGGCAGTTGAGTTTTCACACAACAGATTGAACACAAATCACAATTGCATTTCCACACAATACTACAATTAGACGCAACTCTTTCATCCGGCCTCGAACGGATTCCAATTTTCACCTCGCCCAAACTCGTCTAAGCATCACTCTCAGTGGGACTCGAACCCAACTT